TTTGAAATACAGCTGATTTGGTCATTAAAGTCATTTTTATTAAGTAAAGGTTCAACTGAGACACACCTTTACTATAAAGTCGAGCAAACAAATATGTGTTAGGTTTTTATCTTGTTAAATTTCTAAGAAATGCACAGCGACTCATCCCTCTGCGTGTGCTCGCTTCTGCAAATTGTTTTGAAAATGCAGCTGATTTGACTGTCAAAGTGCATTTATTAAGGAAAAGTTAAACTGAGACACACCTTTGCTACAATTTCCAGCAAACAAATACCAGTAATTGTTTTTAAGTGTTAATCTTGTTAAATTCTTAATAAAGTCCTCCCGTGCACACTCCCACGGCTGCCATTCGGCAGCCAATCGATTTTTGGCACAACACCGGCCCACATTTCCGGGTTATCAGTGGTGATATAATAGCTGCAACTTATACGGCGAAGTGACATATTTATGGATTTTTCCACTTTATTAGACATATTTGGACTGATGCAACTTATAGGGCAGTGTGAAGTGTACGGCGGAAAATACGATAGTTACTTTTAAAACATATTTTCTATTAATCAGTGACGGAGTACTGATTCAGTCTGAGGTGTTTTAGAGGAAAGGATGGATTATTGAGCATGCATCAGGATCAAAAGAACGTGATGTTTCTTCAGATTAGTCTGAGTCATTCTCTAACAGACATCAAGAGTCAGTTTGTAGAAACAAAGAGCCTTTTTAAAGAGCTCCCCTTTGTTGTCATTTCCTGTTTCACGTCGGCTGTACCAAGAAAAAGAAAGCAGGTCATGTGACAGAATGGGTCAAATCGTACATGCCAATTAAAAAATAAATAACTAGACTGTTTTCTTCCACCTTTCATAACTGTGGGACATGCATGTCACATGCGCAGAACCATCATCTTGCTGGCTGAGATCTACAAATGTTTTTACTTACCATACTTTTAAGGATCAAACTGAAAACTAAAACTAAAGAAAGGCTCCAACACTTTTGTTCAGTCATGAGGACAATATTATTATTGACAGTCTTCAACACAGCACGTAAATCAATAAAACACCACGCGCTGCAAGCACTCATTAAAAACACCTGTTTCTTGATCTAAAGGTAACCTCAGAGAATGTGTTAGCAGTAAAACGTGGTGTATAAATCAGCTAATCAGAGCATCTCACCTGAGCAGGTTGGGGGCCCAGACGATGGCCAGGTTCTTACTGTGCATGTTGGTGATGTAGCTGAACGCTGCCAGGTGAGACAGGTGTCTCATCAGGAACTCCAGGGTCCTACGAGTCAAACGTTTCATTTACTCTAACTTAGAATGTTAAAATCATCATGGATCAGTACGGAACTGTGGCTCGACTCCATCAACAGTTTCAAAAACCAAACTTTGTCAAAATAAACACTAAAAATAACTATGTGTGTAGAGGCCTTTCCATAAAACGCTGGAGACAAAACATTTATTTTTTGTTTCATCCTTTTTTTTTGGGGGGGGGGGGGGGTCCATAAACGGATGCTTGTTAAACTATGCTTCAAAATGATAGGTAGCATTTGACATATTATGACAAAAATTATTGTAAAAAAATAATTGGTCCTAAGACTGAGCCTTGGGGAACTACTTTGGAACATCCAGACAAGAAAAGGTGGATCCACCTGAAAACATTGAATGAATGTGATGTAAGGTATTTATCAGCAGGCTGTGATTGGACATGCCCATCAACTTCAACCAGCCAATAAAAAGTGCTACACAATATTCTTTACTATCCAGAGCCAGAATAAATTCAAAACTTTCACATCAGTTCTAACAGAACTGTTTAATAAAACCAAATTCTATTTTACTTAAAAAATTGCCTTAATTGATAATGGACAAGCCTTTCAAACTATTTAGCTCAAGTACCAGAGAGTTCACCACAGAGGGAGAACAGAAGCTGTTTTCTACACTTTAGGGATTTTATTGGTGCTAAGAGAGACGCTCAGAAATAAAATCAGCAGCTAGTTTTAGAAAAACAGCTTTCTGTTTTATTTATACTCGCTCTTCAGAACATTGTTAACCTCGAAGACTGACACAAACTTTCTGGGCAGGTGACAGACATCCGGGAATAAAGAGACTACCTGTATAAATAAAGGCTAAATAACAAATAAATAAATAAAATAAAATAAAGGGCACTTTTACACAAAACAAGTCTCCATTGATCAGCTTAGGATGTAAATATTCAAACAACAGAGAACAGAAATAAAATTAATCATTAAAAGTATTAAGTACAGGCAAAATCTAGACTTACAGCTCTTTGTAAGGAATCAGTTCTGAAGCTGCTGAAAACTGAGCCACAGTCTCCCTGGCTCAAACACCTCAAACACTCCCTCTCTTTCAGGGGAAATATACAGTGTGTGTATATGTATGTAAGTATGTATGTATATATATATATATATATATATATATATATATATATACACAATGAGGAAAATAAGTATTTGAACACCCTGCAGCTTTGCAAGTTCTCCCACTTACAAATCATGGAGGGGTCTGAAATTTTCATCTTAGATGCATGTCCACTGTGAGAGACATAATCTATAAAAAAAAAATAAAAAAATAAAAATAACAATGTATGATTTTTTCATAATATATTTGTGTGTTACTGCTGCAAATAAGTATTTGAACACCTGTGAAAATCAATGCTAATATTTGGTACAGTAGCCTTTGTTTGCAGTTACAGAGGTCAAACGTTTCCTGTAGTTTTTCACCAGGTTTGCACACACTGCAGCAGGGATTTTGGCCCCTTCCTCCACACAGATCTAGATCTAGATCAGCCAGGTTTCTGGGTTGTCGCTGAGAAACACGGAGTTTGATCTCCCTCCAAAGATTTTCTTTAGGGTTTAGTACGTCTGGAGACTGGCTAGTCCACTCCAGAACCTTGATATGCTTCTTACAGAGCCACTCCTTAGTTATCCTGGCTGTGTGCTTTGGGTCATTGTCATGTTGGAAGACCCAGCCATGACCCATCTTCAATGCTCTAACTGAGGGAAGGAGGTTGTTCCCCAAAATCTCACAATACATGGCCCCGGCCATCCTCTCCTTAATACAGTGCAGTCGTCCTGTCCCATGTGCAGAAAAACACCCCCAAAGCATGATGCTTCCACCCCCATGCTTCACAGAAGGGATGGTGCTTTTGGGATGGTACTCATCATTTTTCGTCCTCCAAACATGGCGAGTGGAATTAAGACCAAAAAGTTATATTTTGGTCTAATCTGACCACATTTCTCCCATGACTCCTCTGGATCATCCAAATGGTCACAGGCAAACTTAAGACAGGCCTGGACGTGTGCTAATTTAAGCAGGGGAACCTTCTGTGCCATGCATGATTTTAAACTATGACATCTTAGTGCATAGTAACCTTGGAAACAGTGGTGCCAGCTCTCTTCAGGTCATTGACCAGCTCCTCCCATGTAGTTCTGGACTTATTCCTCACCTTTCTTAGGATCATTAATATGCCACGAGGTGAGATCTTGCATGGAGCCCCAGTCCAAGGGAGATTGACAGTCATGTTTAGCTTCTTCCATTTTCTAATAATTGCTCCAACAGTTGATGTTTTTTAACCAAGCTGCTTGGCAATTGCCCCGTAGCCTTTTCCAGCCTTGAAGAGGTCTACAATTTTGTCTCTGGTGTCCTTGGACAACTCTTTGGTCTTGGCCATGTTAGTAGTTGGAGTCTTATTGATTGTGTGAGGTGGACAGCTATCTATGCAGCTGACGACCTCCAACAGGTGCTTCTAATTTAGAATAAGTGGAGCGGAGGTGGACTTTTTAGAGGCGGACTAACAGGTT